AAAGAGAAAAGCACAGAAGCAGCTGACAGAAAACACCTTTCTGCTCTCAAAAAATAACCTGGATTTGTTGTTGTCAGAAAGCATCTCTTTATATCCAAGACCTCCTGCACCTTTCCTTGAGCAGAACACACAAGTGACCCATGGCACACAGCAGGAAAACCAGCAGTCCCCACACTCCTAGGGAAGTCTCACAGCAAAGTCAAGACCTTCTCTGGTGTTTCAGTCTCCTTACAATTCACATCACTGTGTGCACAATGGGCTCCTGCTCTTTCTGTCCAATTTAAAAATGCTGATTTCTGATAGACAATCTTTCCAGCATTCTCTAAGTTTTCTGTTCTAATTCATGTTTGAAATATGCACACATAATTTCCTACTTGCTGAATTTGTTATCTGAGCACCTCCTTCTGTTCCTTTTGAATTTTCCTAGCAGTATAAACACTCAGCTAAAGAAAATTTGTCATGCAATGTGCACCATGATTATGGGTTTGATTTTGAAAGAGATGCCATGTTTTCAATTTGAAGTGTGGAAAATTTATCTCTTCTCTAAAGAGTCTTAAACATCCAAGCACATTCATTCTATACAAGGGGAAATTAATATATTCTACTAGAAGTTTCCAATGAAGCCTATGGAAAACTGCTTTGTGAGCTGAATGCCTTGAAAGGTATTATTTGGCCATGTGCTGTGAGAGCTCAAGGAAGGCTGTTTTTCAGTTCTTGCACTCTATGAATGTAACACCTCAGAAAATTTTTCAGACAAGTCATACACTCCAGAGCCCTGTAATCACAGACAGCAACACAAGGTCTGGGAGTGACAACACAACAGTCCTTTCTGGAACTGAGCATGTGAAGTGGAATCTTGTCCCCTAACTGTCAGTGTGGTCACCACATACAATAGCATTAAAATACACAACAAAAGGCACAAGTTAATCACAGAGGTAAAACCTCCTAAGCTATGATTGAGTAACCTTTTCTCTTTTCTAAAATTGACTCTGCCTTTCCACTTCTGGGGCACATGAAAAATTGATAAGGCTGATGAAAACTAACAAAATAAAATAAGCACAGCCCTACCAAATCAAAAACTCTCGACAGTTTCCAGTTCATACCAAAAGTCTTCAGCTACAGTGCAATAAAAATCAAGCTGCTACTCTTGTCCTTCTGTTCAACCCCAGATGCCAATTCAGCCCAACCCTTTGACCCTAATTTTGACATCATTAACAAATAATAAACTGCTAACCACAGGTGGGTTTTGCTGGACCCACAAAGGTTACAAGTCAAGGGCTAAAATGGTTGGAATTGTAAAGAAGAATTTGCCATTAAAACATAAGTGTGTGCAGTATTTCCAGAACTAAACAGCTGCTGTTAATAGCAATTATTCTCTCTTGAGAAAAGATTGTAAAGTCCTCTTCTCTGAAAGAGGTCTCAGCAAGCACCACAAAGGGACTGTTTCAGTCAAAAAACTCAGAATACAACAGGGAAATGAAGTTACAGAGCTGTTAGTCAGCCCTGACTGACAATGGAAATCCAAGCAGAAACAATTTCAAAGGCTATGCCCTTCAGCTGGGTTGGAAGGCTTCACAGATTTGGGGTTCACACCACAACAAAGTAATGCATCTCCACAGGGTGTTCCCCAAGGGAATGTGGAATCCATGGGCTTCTTGCAGGATAAATTCTGCAGAGTGCAAAGCTACCCAGGAAGGCTCATCAGGATCTGCTTCCAACAAGGGACTTGATCATAGAATCACTAAGGCTTGCAAAGCCTTTGAGCCCAACCATCGATGGTTAATGTAGTAAGACACACAAGAAATCCTGTTGCCTTCCACGGTAACTACGAAATAAACAAGGAAACTCTCTCCTACTCCTCACAACCCCGGGAAGAGAGAGATTTGG